TTCAGGACTGAGTGAGGCAGGAAGAAGTTCATTTCTTCTGATAATGGAGCAATAAATTCTTTTATTTCTGAAAGATTTAGGTGTCCTAAAAAAAGTGAACGTGGCTAAAATGTGGCTGCTATCTCTCTGTGAGTTCTTTCTTTAAAAAAAAAAGTATCTTACATATCATAGTTTCTATTTTAACATTATGTTATAACTAAAACTATATTTAACACACTACTTAAGAAAATTAACACAGCATAACTTTCAAACATAACACATATAATATTCATTTTAATATTTGCGAAAACCCAATCATAAAATCTGCATTTGTCACAATGTGTATGGTGTGAATTTGGCTCTCCTTGTGGAGGTTGGATATCCCTCACCAGCACAAAGGTTACATTGCACAGTGATGGTTATGCTTGATGATACAGCTCAAATTATACTTGCAGAACACAGGTTTGTTGCCCACAGCCCCCATTTTTGCCCTCAGAAAATTTGGTACCTTGTGTGTCAAACTAAGCACCCAAAATAAATGTCTGCTTCTTCCTTCATCTCCTGAGCTCCTGCCTCTGTCAGATGCAGACTGCACCACCCCCTCCTTCTCCGAGATGCTGGGGAAGATTCAGTTCAGCCCTGTTTCTCCAGCCCTCAGACTGTGTCATGACAGGCAGTGTTAAAAAGCTCACGAGGAAATTAATAATTCTGCCTGTGAGGCAGGCATGAGCGGCATGCAGGAAATGAGGCGTGAGGCCACACGCTGAATGATGAGTGGAGAGCAGGGCAGTGAATACCTGCTGGCTTTGGGGAGCATCATCCACTGCATGCTCTGGTGAAGCCAGAGTCCTTGCCTTGGACACTGAGCCTGGAAGCAAAACTACACTGCAGAGCATTTACAAAAAAGGGACAAATTAAAGATGCTGTACTGGGCCTGAATTTGGCATTTCCTGACTGGTGAGTGCTTGACTTTGCAGCTAATCTTTCCACACTGTTTTTGGCGTGCAGTTATGAGTAGATCTAATCAGTGTTTGTCAGAGCCTGGAACAGCAGGTGGGTGCATGCAGAAGATCCTCAACATATGCTGAGAGTGCTCTAAGCAGCCTTTGTCCAGTCTGAAAGCTGGTTGAGAGATGGGAGAATCATTTAGGTTGGAAAAGATCGTTGAAACTAATCACTTAAAATCATTGATCCTTCTGTTTCCAGCTGCTCTTATCTTAGCAAGGGTTTAAAAGTCTCTGTAAGGTGGAAGAGGGGTGGAACAGTCAGCAGTGGAAGGGAACACCTCAGTAAGAGATGAGGGTGCATGTGCCTGTGCTTGATTTCATAAAAGCTTGAGATCAAATAATCCTCTTTCCTATATACAGCCCTGCCTATTGTCTTGCTTTTTGTGGGCAAAGGGAATTATGGACTGTAGAGCTTTTATATCTATATATCTATATCTATCTATCTATCTATCTAAAATGTATATTATCTATATAATATATATATATTATATTACATGTAATATATATAATATATATGATATATTATATATATGATATATTATATATATATACTATGTAATGTATAATATATATTATGTATTATAATTAACATATATTATATATATATTATAGATAAATAAATATTATATTAAATAAATAAATAAATATATTTAAAATAATTTTGCTGAACTTTCTTCCCAGCAAACACATATTTATATTATTGCACTGCAATTCCAACAGCTCTGTGCTGCTGGAGCATTCTTATATCATTCTGATCTGCAAAGTGCCTGGGGTCTGGCAGTGTTTTTCTGCATCTTACTAAAGGATTTAAAGCAAGTGGAAAGGGAAAAGCAAAGCACACAGAAAGAAAATAGATTAAAGGCTTGTTGTGGTGCTGTGCTTGCAACTGGGAAAGTGAACCTGCTTAACTAATAATGGTGAGCCAGCTCAGCCAGCAGATCAAACCAGTGCTTTTGAGCAGCATGTGCATCTCTGGGCTCATATCCCACTGAAACAGCTTCTCTCTGTGTTGTATCCTCAGGCACAGCTTCTGATCTGTGGCTGAATTAAGTCAATGTTTTGAGAAGTATTGCAGGAGATTCAGGGTGAGGTGTCCATGGCCTGCTTGACTTTTCCAGGAGTGCAAGACTTATGAAAGTCAGACCTCCAACTGGAAAAAAAATAATATCTAATTCTCCCTATTGTTTTGTTTAACAATTCATGAACAGTAGTCTGCACTGGGAAAGGGACTCCATGCTCTCAGTGATAGCTGTGTTGATAAGGGAGAATAGGATTGTATTTGCATTGCCCCCAGATGAAGGAAGGAATGATGAATCTGAGTCCATATTCTCAGAAGGCTAATTTATTATTTTATAATACTATATTATGTTTAAGAATACTATACTATACTAAATAATGCAGAAAGGATACTTCCTCAAAGCTAAAAAGATAATAATGAAAACTCATTACTCTTTCCAGAGTCCCAACACAGCTTGGCCCTGATTGGCCAAAGAATGAAAACAACTCACAGCAGAATGGAATGGAACAATCACCTGTGGGTAAACAATCTCCAAACACATTCCACATGTGAGCACAACACAGGAGAAGCAAATGAGATAAGAATTGTTTTCATTTTTCTCTGAGGCTTCTCAGCTTCCCAGGAAAAACATCCTGGGTGAAGAGATTGTTTCAGAGAATGTGAATGCTACAGAACAGGGACCTGAGAAAGCCCTTCTTGGATGCATTTTAAAATTAGACTTCTGGGTTAGTCACAGTGATTAAAGTGTAGAGCCAGACTGTGGTGCTGTGTCCTGGTGTCCCTGCGGAGCTCTGCTTTAGTTTGGCACATTAATGCTGCCCTCCAGTTGTTCTGTGTGCAGCTCTGTGTCACAGAGATGTGGCTTTTACCAGGACCAGATGCTCTTAGGATAATTTGGAAGCATGAAGGCTATTTCTCTGCCCCTTATAGGAACTCCTTGTAGCTATCAAAGGGGCTTAAAGCTGCCTTTGGTAGGAACTCCAGAAGATTTCAGGAGCACAAAACTGCTAGCCCTGCTGTGAATGCTCTGCACATGGGAGAAACCTATGTGAAGTCTGATTATTTTGTCAATGAGAATCTCCTTTATTACGGAAATTGTCTTTCCCTCCCTTCTAGTACTGGGCTTCCTTTCCTTTTTTCTTTCTAGCTTGGTGCTGCACAAGGCTTCCTTTTTCCTGCAGGAAGGAACAACTGGGTAATTGAAATGGAACACTAGTGAGGATTTTTTTAATGTGAAAGTCAGCATTAATTAGTCCGGTCGGGTGTAATTAGCTTCCTCATCTGTCACTGCTTCTCTCCAACTTGCCAATGACTTCCTTTCTTCTAGATGCCACTGAAAAAGAGCTGCCTTGTGGGAGCTGCATGGGTGTTTTCCCTGGTTGGGGTGCAAGTGAATGACAACCCCTGTGGGGCTGTTGGGGCTTGAGCTGGATCTCGCTTGCAGGAAGCCTGTTTGCTTTGGAAATGGCAGAGGGAAGCCCAACAAATCTATATGCCTACCCAAAGCAGCTGAATCAGTGCCTCTTTTCTAAAGAAACAGACCCAGGGCTCCAAGGAGTTCTCTAATCCTCTGCCTCTTTCAGCCTGGCGCAGGCTAAGCTCGCTCAGAAGTGAGGCAGAGCTTTAATGAAGGCTGCAGGATTAAGTTCTCTGTGTGTATCCTGCAGCTGAAAAAGTAATTGGGCCATGATTCAGTGCTGAGAGTCTCTGGATAGCATGAGAAGTGATGGAGGGAAAACAGGCCAGCCCTCAAGTAAAATTCAAGCAGGAAAAAAAAAATGCATTTCAATCCCCTTCTGGATGATTTGAGGGTTTATCTCCCCCACCAGTTCAATTTGCCATGCTTTGGGTTGGATGGGCTGTCATCCTGATCCAGGCAGGATCTGGGGAAGGTGGCAAAGCCAGATGAGTCCCAAGGGCTGTGCTAAGTGTGCCATGTCTGCCTGTGGAGCTGAATCAGCTCTCCTGAAGGGGTTCAGATGTGGATGCAGAGGGAGGCTGGCACTGCTGGGCACAGTCCAGGTGCCACCCACCCTGCCCATGCCTCTGTCCCACACCAAATCTTGATCCTTCCCTGACTCAGTTCTCTCTCTGGGGCTTCTCCATAAATTTCTGTGCTGGAGTTCACACCTGTGCCAGAGTTGGTGCCAGTCTGCAGCCAGAGTGTAACACATGTTGGTCACCAGACATTATATAATGGTGCCCAAATTGTGTTACAAATTGGGGTTTGCAGTCCAAACCATGACAATTGATGGACAAGTCAAAGGGAGATACCTTAGAACTGATCCCATCCCTGAATTGAGGATTTAGCTCTTGGTTAAGAAAGAAGATGGTGTAATCCCTTTTCTGCTGCTTTAAGTTGCTCTCCCTCATTTCCCTTTCTTGTCATGTGCACGCTCTTCTGTCTCAGGATAAGAATCTTTTCCCTCCTTCTCCTCAGTAACTCAATAAAATGGGAAATTATTATGGCTCTTTACCTCTCTTTCTGAAGAGAGAATACAGACACTTTTTCAGATCTCACAGTAACTCCATTCCCCAGGGCAGAGGGAGAAAAGTCAGGGGTAGAGGGGAGGTAACTGCAGGTACACAGCAACCTGCCCAAGTGGGATGGGTGAGGTTACACCTGAGCTCCTGCAGCATCAATCTACACTAATTTGAACTGGAGTTTAGCTTGGCTGTCCCTTAGAGGCACAAGGGGAGCAGTCCCTGGCAGCTCAGTGATGGATGGGGGTCACACACCAGCCATAGGAAGGAGCATTATCTTCCTCTCCTTACAATTGAAAATAGATTTCCCCCAGTTATTTATAGCAGTATTCATCTTCCCCACGAAGTGTGCATGTGTGTGCACACAGAGACAGAAGCACACACACACCCACACCTGCACACCACATTTGCACATGTCGACCCCTCTGAAAACTCACTGGATGCCTGGGAAAGGTGAGCCCTGTGAGCTGGGTGCTGTGTTTGGGGGTCTGGTTAGGAGCAAAGCCATAAATAGCTGGGGGAAATCTATTGGCAGTTCTAAGGAGAGGAAGACAGCACTCCTTTGCATTTTGTACCTGGTAGCATGAACCATTCCTGGATGTGAGAACCAGGTTAGCTAATTAAGTGTTCATGCTGCTGCAGGGTGAGCAGCATACTGTGAATCACTGCAGTCTCCTTGCCTGGTGCTCCTGGAGCCTTCCTCTGCCACAGCACTGGGCTCTGGGGCTGTCACTTGAACTTCTCCCTCTCTGGTTCCTCTGCCAGGCAGAGTGGGATACCCCATGACAAGGCTGTTGTTTCAGAGGCTGCAGCAGATCTGTGGGGCTTGGAAGGAGTGATGCTTTCCTCCTGAGGGAACTGGAGTGTCCTGGCTCTGCTGCTGGGAGTCTGTGGATTCACAGCTGTGCCTGTGACACCACTGCTGGTCTTCTCTTCTGCTACTGACTGCTCTTCTCTATCTGTGTGCAGGTGCTGGACATGGACACAGAGGATGACCCATTGTTACAGGACGCCTGGCTAGAGGAGGAAGATGAAGAGGTGACCTTCAGCTCCCGGAAGAGGCGCGAGGGTGCTCTGCTGTGTGGGAAGAGCCCGTGCAGAGTCAGGCCCCTGTGTGTCACACTGCCTATGTCTGGCTTCTGGAATATTGTTGGCTGGGTGTTCACCAACCCATACTGTGCTGGCTTCATCCTTTTCCTGGGCTGTGCCATCCCTGCCGTGCTTGCTGTCATCATGTTCCTCCACTACCCCACCCTGGACATCGACATCTCCTACAACGCTTTCGAGATCCGCAACCACGAGTCCTCGCAGCGCTTCGACGCCCTCACCTTGGCCCTCAAATCCCAGTTTGGCTCCTGGGGAAGGAACCGCCGGGACCTGGCTGACTTTACCTCAGAGACCCTGCAGAGGCTCATCTTCGAGCAGCTCCAGCAGCTCCACCTCAACGCATCCCACCTTGGTGTCAGCCCACGGGTGAGGCGCAGCCCCGTGGAGGGCAGGGGCAGCTCCCTACAGCCCCAGCCCCATCCAAGCACAGCAAACCAGAGCTCCAGAGTGGGCAGGGGAGCCCCACGCTGGGACTACTCCAGCAGCTACATCAGTGCTAACACACAGACTCATGCTCACTGGCGCATTGAGCTCATTTTCCTGGCTCGGGGTGACGCTGAGAACAACATCTTCACCACAGAGCGCCTGGTCACCATCCACGAGGTGGAGCGCAAGATCATGGACCACCCTCGCTTCCGTGAATTCTGCTGGAAGCCCCATGAGGTCCTGAAGGACCTGCCCCTGGGGTCTTACTCCTACTGCTCCCCTCCCAGCTCCCTCATGACCTACTTCTTCCCCACGGAGAGAGGAGGGAAGATTTACTATGATGGCATGGGGCAAGACCTTGCTGACATCCAAGGTGAGCTGAAGGCCAGGGGCAAGGGCTGGCATGCTCAAGGATTGCCTCTCCTCATGTTCTGTCAGGACCCAGGACATCCCTCTGGCTATCCTGAGCAGCCAAGACCCCTGCCAAGGGGCTCAGAGACCCTGGCACAGAGCCCAAAATGCCCCTGTGGGTTTGATTATGACCCGTGGAGCAAGTTACCAACCTTAGATGAAAACCTGCAAGGCATGACGAATTAAGTAGAACGGTAGTGAACTTATCACAAGGTGAAAAAGTAGATTTTGGGGTTTTTAGAATGGGGATCCAGGGGGACAAGATGGAAGGATCTCGGCATGTCCACCAGCCTTTCTCCTTCTTCTTCTTGGCCTGCATCTTCTGCTGTGGTGTTGGCCCTTACAGATTGGTTTAGAGTAGAAGCTCACTGTCTAACATAGGTGATAGGTATTGGGAAGTAATTGTAAACATTGTATATGCAGTTTTTAGTATAAAGACATAACACCACCCTGGAGTCAGGCAGAGTGCCTGGAACTGTCCTGCTGGATGGACCTTGGCAGGACAGGAGAAAGAATTTTATAGATAAGATACAATAAACAACCTTGAGACTGAGAAATGAAGAGCCCTGACTCATTCTTCAAGTGCTGGGCTGGGAAAAGAGACTTTGGAACTTTTCTCGGGGTCACTCTGACCAGCTAAAGATCCCAGCAAGGTTCAGGCAGTCAGTGGTGTGCAGCTAAGAGGAGTGATTGCCTTGTTTGGAGAGGAAGATGCTGCTGGGCTGTGCTTTGAGGAATTGTCTTTTCCTGCACCAGGGCCCCTTTTTCAACCCTGCAGCTCCACTCACTGTGTGACCACTCACAGGTCACACAGACCCCCACAGGCAAGTGAGAGGGCCAGGTGAGGGGATGTCCTGCATGGTACAGATGTCTTCTACTGACCCTTGTTCCCTGTAGATGGCTGTGGTTCACTAGAGCAATGCCAGGGGCTTGAAAAGACAAATAGGGATGAGCTTCCCTGCACTACAGAGCAGATTAAAGAGGTCTGTGGGCTGTTCTGGCAGCTTGTGAGTCACCAGCTGGAAAGATTCCTATAAGGAGAGGAGGAGAAAGACCCTGCCTCCTCCTCCCAGCTCTGTACCTTGTGCTGTGCACCTCTAGCAGAACAGAGGCTCTGGGTGGTGACAGAGAGGTGACTCATGAGGAGTGTGTGGGTGTGCTGTGGCTGTGGGATGTACCCTCCATCTGTCTCCAAGCCAGGCTGCAGAGGAGCTGTCCAGGAGCCATGCAGGGAACAAGCAAAGGATTAGGTCCATCTGCTCCAGTAACAGTTCTGCTACCAAAACAGGAAAGAGCACAGTTTCTGGTCTTTCTGGCACAAACTCTAGGGAACTGGATTTTGGGAATAGATAGGCAGTGTCTCTTAGTCAGAACTAGCTGAGTGCCTCCATCTCTGCATCCCTCACACCATCAGGTGGCAGAGGTGCCAGGTCACAGCAGAGCCAGGACTCCTCTTCCATGGGCATTGCTTAGTTCTTCTGCTTCCAGGTGTAATGGAGAAAATATTGTCCCAGTGTAAGAGAAGGAAGAGCCTCCAGCAGGGGAGTATTGATCAGGATGGTGTTGGCTGGGGCTGCTGGAGTTCAGGTCAGTCAGGTGGAAGATATGTCCCTGATGAGGAAGTGCATGGGGGCAGTAACACAAGCAATGGGATGTGAGTCTTTGCAATGCAGGTTTCCCTTGCTCTCTGGAGGGCAGCAGCAGTCAGCACTGCTCTGATGAAGGACAGGCTGACTCCCAGTTTCCCTGTTACACACTAGATCCCGTGCCTTGCCAAGACAATCAATCAGGACCTCACAAAAGTGGCACTGCTTTCTCCTGCAGGATCCCTGGAGCTGGCCATGACCCACCCCGAGTTCTACTGGTATGTGGATGAGGGCTTGTCTGCTGAGAACAAGAAGAGCTCCCTGCTGAGGAGCGAGATCCTCTTTGGGGCCCCACTGCCCAACTACTACTCGGTGGAGGATCGCTGGGAGGAGCAGCGCCGCAAGTTCCAGAACTTTGTCATCACCTACGTGGCCATGCTGGCCAAGCAGTCCACGAGGTGAGGAGGGGTGGGCAGGGCAGGTGGGAGTGCACAAAGCAGGGAAGGGCACAGGATGGAACAGACATTTCAGGGAAAAAGCTCTGCTATTGTGTTTGCAAGGTTCCCAGACAATGGAAGGAATGGTGCATCTGACTCTATCTTCTTAGAAGGCTAATTTATTATTCTATTCTATTCTATTCTATTCTATTCTATTCTATTCTATTCTATTCTATTCTATTCTATTCTATTCTCTGATAGCCATGTTCCATTTGGCTTCACTGGGAAGGCACCAGGCACAGAAGGCTTGACATGCTAGCTTGGACTACTGGTCAGAATCAAACAGTGGCCATGGCATAATGTTCTAAATGAAAAAGCATCTCCACAGAAACTGGGCTCAGCCATCGAGCTGTGAATGATGGTGGGGAATACATGGCAGAAAATTACTCATGTGCTCTCATTACTGCCACTTCCACATGCAGAGACACCAACAGAGACAATGAAAAGGGGACAAAGTTTGAATCTACTGCCTGTCTTTCCACTCAATCCTTGTCTGGCACAGGATCTTTTTGCTTCTGTCTTACAAATCCAGTTCCACTAGCTCAAACAGAGCTGTCTTCCTGCTCTGAATTTGGCCACTACTGGTCTGATGCAGGGGATGAAAGTCTTTACTCAAGGCTGCTCAACCTGTGGATGCAATTCTGCTTTTTTGTACAGAGAGGTGGGGAAGGGAGTTTCAAGGCAGGATAAGTTTCAAGAAGCGCAGGCTTTTTTCTCTGCCAGGTCTTGGTTGAACAGAGCTTTGCTCAGTTCTTGTGAGATATAGAGATGATAAAATAGAGCTAAAAGAGCATCCCAGGACTCAGGCAGCTGACAGAAGGCTGTGTGTCCCAGTCTCTGTGCCTTCTTAGACTCCAGCTTTCTACTGCCCTGAGTCTTGGTGCTTCCCAGAATGAGGGGATGCTGATCTTCAAAAGCAGGTTGGAGTGCAGGCACCCACAGAGCATTCTCAGCAATGGGCTGGGAAAGCAGACTGTGATTCTGAAAGGCCAAAAAGGAATTGAGGCCAAGGCTCAGTTTCAAAGCTCAGATCCCTGATAGCTTCCTATGGTGCAGCATTGTTGTAGTCCTGGTTAAATTATGTTGGGCTATTTTTGCTCTGAGCCTGCTTCCAGAGGCAGAACCTGGTAAATCATATAATTTCTGATTAATCTCCCCCTCTGCCTGCATCCACAGTGCTAATATAATAAGCAGTGATTAGGATTCCAGATGGAATTGGCTTTAAAGGCTCCAGGAACTGTCTATTAGTGCCTAAGACCCACCATGCAGTGGAGGAATTTTAAAAATATCAGACCTGCTCTTGATTTTTTTCGTTCCCTGTATGATTTTCACCTCCAGCAGCAACTTTGTTCAACCTGCTCTCACTGCTCTGTTTTCTCAGAGAACTGCCAGGTTATCAGAGCAGTGACCTCCTTTGGCTCTGGAGGAGATGCTGTGCTTTGAACCACCTGGCTCTGCTCCTTTTGTGCTCAACTATTCCTCTTCTTTCGCATCTCCCCACCCCAGCAAAGTCCAGGTGCTGTATGGAGGGACAGATTTGTTTGACTATGAAGTGAGGAGGACTTTCAACAATGACATGTTGCTGGCCTTCATCAGCAGTAGCTGCATAGCTGTCTTGGTCTACATCCTCACCTCCTGCTCAGGTACGCTGGGGTCACAGCTGCCCTGTTCTAACACAAATCCAAATGTGCCAAATGTCTCTGTGTCAAGGCTGAGGACAGACTCTGATGCCCTGGCACCAGTGTGGCTGTGGGGCACAGCAGCATGCAGAAGGGCAAGTCTGATTCTCCAGAGCAGAGATTTATGGGCAGGGTGAGTGTGACCGTGTTCACACGGGTCTTTGGATGGGGGAAGAGATGAGGATTTGACTCCATATTTCAGAAGGCTTGATTTATTATTTTATGATATATATTACATTAAAACTATACTAAAATAATAGAAGAAAAGGTTCTCAGAAGGCTAGCTAAGCTAAGAATAGAAAGGAAGGAATGATAACAAAGGTTTGTGGCTTGGACACTGTGTCCAAGCCAGCTGACTGTGACTGGCCATTAATTCTAAACATCCACATGAGACCACTCACAAATGCACCTGTTGCATTCCACAGCAGCAGATAATCAATGTTTACATTTTGTCCCTGAGGCCTCTCAACTTCTCAGGAAGAAAAAATCCCAAGGAAAAGATTTTCATAAAAAGATGTCTGCGACAGGTGAGGGGAAGACTCACAGGAGATCAGAAATAAGATGCAAATGCTTGTTTTGGTAACACTGGCATCAATTTGATGTAATTTTTTGCATGAGCCTTGTGGGAAGGAGTCTGCAAGCAGTACTCCCTGAACTGTTATCACAAACACACTATGGGAACCACTGTCCCAACAGGGCAGATGGGAGGTGTTTGTTCTGCTGGGGGTGGTCAGAGATATTATTTTTTTCCGTGTTTCTTTTCTGCTGTAGTGTTTCTGTCATTCTTTGGCATTGCCAGCATTGGGCTGAGCTGCCTGGTGGCTCTGTTCCTGTACCACGTCGTGTTTGGGATCCAGTATCTGGGTATCCTCAATGGTGTGGCTGCCTTTGTCATCGTGGGGATTGGTAAGCTCATCTTTACCCAAAGCCTGTGCTTCACCTCTGCTGCCTTGCCCTGCCTTCTGTCTGCAGGAGAGAAGGTGATGGTGGCAAATCCAGATTGAATTTTCAGGCCCTTTTCCTGTTACCTATAAATTTAATATTTGCAGTTCAAATATCAAGGGGTGTGAAAAACGCCAATCACTTGTTTTTAAAATTTTAAAAGTTTCATAGTAATAAAATGGTTATAAAAAATAGCAATACAATTGGAGTAATAATAATTTGGACAAATTGAATTAGGACAATATAAGACAATAAAAACAAAGAGTTATGGACAGTCCAGGTACCTTTTTCTGGGCAGCAAGAGCCTGAAAAAGGACACACATTAACAGAGGATTAACCCTTAAAAGCAACAGCCTGTTGCATGTTCATACACCTCATACATGATGCATAAATTCCATTCAAACACAGGATTCTGTCTGGTCAGTATCAGCTTCTTCCTCTGAATCCTAACAGCACCTTTGAGGCAGGAAGAAGTTAATTTCTTCTGATAACGGAGCAACAATGACATGACATAAATTCTTTTTCTCTGAAAGATTCAGGTGTCCTGTGACTGCTATCTCACTGTGAGTCCTTTCTTTAAAAAACGTATCTTACATAGCATAGCTTCTATTTTAACATTTTTTATGACCTAAAACTCTATTTAACACAGTACCTAAGAGAATTAATCCAGTATTACTTTCTAACACAACACATATAACATTCACTTTAATATTTGCGAACAGCCAATCATAAAACACATGCATTTTTCACAAGGGGGAAATCAGATATTTTTAGCAGGTGTCACCTCTGTGAGCAGAGCACCAATATCCCTGCTGTCTTTTTCCAGGAGTTGATGATGTCTTTGTTTTCATCAACACCTACCGCCAAGCCACGCACCTCAAGGACCTGCGGCTGCGCATGATCCACACTGTGCAGACAGCAGGGAAAGCCACCTTCTTCACCTCCCTGACCACAGCTGCTGCATATGCTGCCAACATCTTCTCTCAGGTACCCTGCGCCTTTGGAATTTGGGGTTTCAATGCCTGCCAAAGGGCCTGATTGATCAGGAGCCTGCCAGCACCATCTGTCCTCTCCTTCAGCGCAGTGGGCTGCCACAATGCTTCTCACAGGGCTGTCTCTTACTTGCTGTGAGGTAGTGGGTTATCCAAGGAAATACTTCTGTGCTGGTCTGTAGCTGGACAAGGGAAATCTGGCCATAACGGAATTCTAATTTGGTTAGCCTGGTTCATTCTAGAAAAGAATTAAAACAAGTCCCTGGGTGAGCAGTCATTGGTTAGATTGAAACTCAAACAGAGATCTGTCGAAACAGGTCAACCCCCGTGGCAGGGAGGAATGATGAGGAGAACTCCATCTCATCAGAAGGCTAATTAATTACTTTATTATACTATATTATTCTATATTATACTATATTGTTCTGTATTATATTACCTTACATCTAAACTGAATCTGCCATGCACTCCACTGCACAGAATCTCATCAGTGACAGTCCTGACACACACACACACCTGGCCCTGATAAGCCAAGGAAACAAAACACCATCACTTTGGGTAAACAATCTCCATATTGCATTCTACTTTGGCACAAACACAGGCACAGCAAATGATAAGAATTGTTTTTCCTTTCTCTGAGGTTCAGAGAATGTGAAACCCTGAAATATTCTTGGGGAGAATTGCACCTTGCTTTCCTCTGTGAAATGTGGCGACAGAGATCTCATCCAATCATGTTCCTTCTGGAATGCAGACATACCACTGGTCAAGGAGCTGGGATGGTGTTCAGACCCAGACCAATCAGTTGTCTAACCCTGGGGGTTTTAAACCCCCTATATAAGAAGGCTTCCATAGTAAACCATTGCTGTTGTCACATGCATCTCTGAGAGTTTGTGTTGTCTCTGTCTCCAGCCAACAACCCCATGTGCCACGGATCAAACGGGCTCTGTTTCAGCGCTTTACCTAGCAGGTTTGCTGATTTTCATGACTGAGGTCAGCATGTGTTATTCTCAGGTTCCTCCAGACATCTCTTCCTTGCCCCAGCTGATCCTTGTTGCTGATGGTGGAGACAGAAATGTGATGTACACACATTGCAAAGTTCATGTGGCAACAGCCAACCTTTGTTGAAGCCCACCCTCCTTTATAGGGGCTTTGAATTTCCTGCACATAGAGAGAGGATTGGACAAAGGTCTTAACTCTGCCCAGCTAACTGGCCAATGAAATGGGTGCATTCCTGATTCAAAGGGATTGGCTGGGGTCCCCTTATTTAAACTTAAATTTAGCCTATCAGTATTGTGTCCGGGGGCTTGTTTACTTCACTTCTCTAACAAGCTAGGCTGGTTGAGTGTCTGTCATGGCCAAATTATTTGTGTAGCTATAGACCAGCTGTACCCTTTACATATCCCAATCCCATGTTCTCTCTCTTCATGTAGATCCCAGCTGTGCATGACTTTGGACTCTTCATGTCCCTGATTGTGTCCTGCTGCTGGGTAGCTGTGCTCTTCACCATGCCAGCTGCTCTTGGAATATGGACCCTCTATGTGTCCCCATTAGAGAGCTCCTGCCAAGCCAGGTGAGCCCTGGAGCCTGTGGGTGGGAAGTTGTGGAATTTGCAGCCAAGTTTGCAAATTGCTTCCCTGTCATCTCAGTTTATCCTCATTCCCCTCAGGCAGCTTGGCTTTGGCTCTGACAGAAGGGAAATTTAAGTTCTGCCTTTCCAGATCCGAGCAAAATGGAAGGGTCAAGTCCCAGTCTCATTCTCTCTCAGTCAATTCTCTTGGTTGAATGCCATGGAGTGAGTATTGGACCATTTGTTTCCTCTGAGCTCTTAATGACAGCTAAACCTTCAAGAGGTGGCGATGCAAGGCAGACAGGTCCCCACTGCTCCTGCCTGTGAGCAGGATGTGGAAATTCATGTTGGAAACTCAGCACATTTCCTTTTCCCCGGCTCTTCAGCACTGCAGGTGACCTGGAATGATTTTACTCATTGGCAGGGAGATGAACTGCTGAAACTGCCATCACTCAGCACCAGTGTCCAGGCTCAGCCCTGCTCTGTGTATGCAGCCCAGCCCCTGCCCTCTCAGCACTTGCAATGGAATTTGCTCCTGGCAGCTCCTGTTGTCTTTCCAAACAATTGGAGCAGGTTGTTCCTGTGCTCCTTGCCACTGAAGGAGCCCACTGGTAACTCCTCACAGGGTATGTGGCTTTAAACCCTTGCCTTTGTCTCCTTTCCTGCTTCAATCCAGCTGCAGTCAGAAGTGCACCAAAAAGAGTGCCTTGCACCTGGCTGAAGATCTCTTCATTGCCCCAGCAGCCCCCTCCAGAGCAGGCAGAGAGACCCTTCCCTACCTGGATGATGACATCCCACTGCTCAGCGTGGAGGAGGAGCCTGGTAAGTGTTTTCTGCTGTTTGTGCCTTTAGGGGGATCACACTGCCCTGCTCATCCTGCATTTCCCCTACCCCTGACACTGGTTCTTGCCTCAGTTCCCTGAATTTTAAGCTGGAGATGGTGTCATCATGGGAGGGTGTAGGAGTCAGGACTCAATATTCTTTATAAGTTTGCTTTGAGATCTTTATTGGGTGTCAATGCATCCTTTCTTAACTAGTTTGCTAATTCTCTTGGGTCCATTGTGGTCTGCTTTGTCTGGAATCACTGATTGTGACATGGAAATAGCCACGAAACATCTAATCCATTACAACAGGACAGCTCACCATGGAGCAAAGTTTTCCTTTCTTCCCTGCCATTTGGACCACTGTATTTGGGAAGCAGGAGCAAGAACACTGTTGTTCTTCAGCCCCCTAGAGCAGCTCCTTCATCATGGTGTGAAGAGGGCAGTGACTTGCCTGAGATCACATAAGCAATCTAGAACAAAACCCCAGAAATTCCCTATCTGTTGTTAGCAGGAGATAATCCTTCCAGCCCAAGAAAAAGGTGCTTACAGGGTCGTGCTCTCTTGTACTTGGCTTTTAAAACTCGCTGGAATCTCTTCCATACAGCCTATAAGAATCACTACATTACCATACTGTGTTACATTTTAAACCCTAAAAACTCCTCTTTGTGCCCCTTCTGCCAAGCTGTAGGGTCTGCTCTGCCCCTTGGGCCTGTCTGCAAGCAGAGGGTGTTGTTCCATCAAAAGGGGATCACCTTCAGTCAGCCACACCATTGTTTTCCAGTTGTTCAGTAACTGAGGTATCTCAAAGCTTGCTTTCATTTCAATCTCACTTATAGTTTCTATATTCTCAAATTTTTTTGCCAGGCAATCCTATTTATAAGGCTTTCCTGTTTCATCTTCCCCAACACACAGCAAGTGCCCTCTTCTCACACATAGAGAAGGGGGCATTTCCCTTGGCATCCCTGAACCAAGAGAATCAGGAGGAGCCAGGCTGTACTCAGGAAGAGATCAGCAGTGTGCAATTAGCAGTAAGGCATATTTAGTGGGACAGGGAGAAATTCTGTTTGGCCCAAGAAGCATTTAGTGTCCCTGTGACCTTATGGACAGTGTTTGTGGGGTTTGGTAAAGCAGGGAATAGCCTGAAGCATAGATTTGGACTGAGATATGGAGTTCCATCTGTAGCTGTTGCATGGCAGTGACTTGACAAAGATGCTTCTTAAAACATCCTGGAGTCACTGCCTCTGCTGGGGTTTTACTCCATCTTTTTAGCTTGACTGAGTTGTACAGCACCTTGCACAAGATTTGATAAAGGAGAGCAGAGAGCTCTGGGAGACACTCACTGAGACTGCTTTTGATTTCTCTCTATTCTAGTCTCCCTGGAAATGGGGGATGTCCCCTTGGTGTCTGTGATGCCAGAAAATCTGCAGCTCTCTGCAGAGAAGAGCAGCCAGGGTCACTTGATAACTCATCTGCAGGAGCTGCTGGAGCACTGGGTGCTGTGGTCTGCAGTGAAGAGCAGATGGGTGATTGTGGGTAAGCAAGGAGGGGAGTTGAATCTGCATGGATTTTAGAGGGTTTGGCATTTCAATCTCTCTCCAAGCCTTGGTTATTAGTTACAAGAGCTGGGAAAAGGGACATGGTAAATGTCTTCTAACACAGTGGGAGAGGGCTCCTGAACAGTCAGTCCATAAGGGGGCTCATCTGCAATGTTCAAATATCTCATTGGACATTGGATAGACCCCTTGGGAAGGAGGTGCACGTTGGGAATTGGATGGTTGAGTTGCCTGTAGGAGTGGAGTATTTAGAAAAGTATTTCCTGCTTTAACCATGAACTGCATGAGTATTTCTTCTGGAGCAATCCCTTCACAGACTATGAAAACTGACTATTTTTACTCATAAGTGCTGGTGTCATCCCTTTCTTCTCACTCAGATCCAAAGTGGCAATTCCTGGTGGAGTTTTTTCCAGGCATCGGGCTTATTACAAGAAAGCCCTGTGTGCTTTAGTGGCTGTTCTTTTCCCAGCTGAAAATACCATCTTTCTACCACATTGCTGCTCTCTGAGCATGTCTGAAGTGCTTGTAGGATCCCATGCTTACCCAGATTTCCCCCTGCAGGGCTCTTTCTCCTGGTTTTGCTGCTGTCCATATTCTTTGCCAGCCGCCTCCAGCCAGCCAGCCGTGCTCCAGTCCTGTTCCGGCCAGACACCAACATCCAGGTGCTGCTGGATCTGAAATACAACCTGAGTGCTGAGGGGATCTCCTGCATCACCTGCTCAGGTGAGAGCACTGCTTCCCAAACCACGGTGGGTGCGCTCCAGCCTGGCCCAAGCCCTGGGCTGGAAGAGCTGAAATGTGAGGCAGACACCTGCAATGTTCAAAAACCTTATTGGATGGACCCCGTGGAAAGGAGGCACAAATTGGGAATAGGATGGTTGAGCTGCCTGTAGGAGTGGAGTATTTAGATATATTTAGATTAGTATTTAGATATTAAATATTATACAGATTTAGATATTAGATTAGTATTTAGATATAAATATAAAATATTTCCTGCTTTAGCCATGAACTACCTGAATATTTCTTCTGGAGCAATCGCTTCACAGACCATGAAAACTGACTGATTTTTACTCATAAGTGCTGGTCTCATGTTGTGATGGTGTTCACAGGGGTTTTCAGGGGAGGGAAGAGACGAGAATGTTGACTCTATGTTTAGAAGGCTTGATTTATTATTTTATGATATAGATTACATTAAAACTATACTAAAAAGAATAGAAGGAAAAGTTTCATCTCAGAAGGCTAGCTAAGCTAAGAATAGAAAGGAATTAATAATAAAGATTTGTGTCTCGGACAGAGAGTCCAAGCTAACTGGGCTGTGGTTGGCCATTAATTGTAAACATCCAAGATGGGCCAGTCACAGATGCACCTGTTGCATTCCACAGCAGCAGATAACCATTGTTTGCATTTTGTTGCCGAAGCTTCTCAGCTTCTCAGCAGGAAAAATCCTAATGAAAGGATTTTCATGAAAAGATGTCTGCGACATCATGTCAGTGCCCAGCCCAGAGACTGTGGCACTGCGTTGCCTGCTCAGGGTTTGGTATTCAGCAGCTGAGTCTGTGGTGTGCACAGGCCTGGTACCTCTTTTCTCTTCCCATTCACTCCTTCCTCCCTGACTAACCTTATGGGACAGGTTTGTTTCAGGAAAAGCCCCACAGTTTGCAGAACAACATCCGAACTTCCTTGGAAAAAAAGAAGAGGGGCTCAGGTTCACCTTGGGGAAGCAAAGGCAGCATGAGTGATGCAGGGCAGCAAGGTGAGTGGAGCATATTGACTCTGGCCACATTTGCATCCAGGGCCCAAGGATCCACTGGGGTACAAACTAAACCACATGCTCTCTGAATGGCTGATAGGGAATAATTCTCTCCAGAGCCTGCCCCACTGAGTCCTAGGTTGGTGCTGGGTGTGTGGTGTGACCATGTTCACAGGGATCTGAGGATGAGGGAAGAGATGAGGGTCTGACTCCATGTTTCAGAATGCTTGATTTATTATTTTATGACGTCTATTATATTAAAACTATACTAAAAGAATAGGAGAAAGGATTTCATCAGAAGGCTGGCTGAGAATAGAAAAAGAAGGAATGATAACAAAGGCTTGTGGCTCAGACTCTCTGTCTGAGCCAGCTGACTGTGATTGGCCATTAATTACAAACAACCACATGAGACCAATCAAAGATCCACCTGTTGCATTCCACAGCAGCAGATAACCGTTGTTTACATTGTGTTCTTGAGGCCTCTCAGCTTCTCAGGAGAAAAAATCCTAAGGAAAGGATTTTTCTTAAAAGATGCCTGTGACAATATGGGGCATCTTTAGAATCCCCCTTTCCCTGAACACCTGCTGCCCTCTAGGACATGGTCCTATAGCCCAGGTGGCAGTATCATCTAGTGTCCTATCTCTCTCATCTGAGAACAGGGCTAGGAACTCCAAGCTTTACATCCCAGTCCTGTTCACAACCTTGTTGGCAGGTCACGAGGAGAGTAAATTCAGTTTGCAGGGGATTTTGAGGATAAAAGAGTTTTTGGGCCAGCTCCCAAGATGACATGAATCAATAAGCCATCAGGAATTACTGCAGCTCAGGATGTATTTGTGATAGCCTTTGAAAGATGTACTGTGCTGGGAGAAGGCAGAGGCTGAGCAGACAGCAAACCATAAGATCCCTCTTTTGTCTGCATCTGTAGGATTTGCTGGTTGAGAAGTGCCACCAAACCAAACCTCATGCCCTCTGTTTTCCTCAGAGCTCCAGGGGACTGTGTATATCTCCAAGTCCAGGAGCAAGGGAAGACCAGCTATCTACAGATTCTCACTCAACGCCAGTGTCCCTGCGCCCTGGCAGATGGTGTCACCAGGAGATGGGGAGGTGCCTTCATTCCAGGTAAGTCACTCCAGGATGCTGCACCCCTCTAGCAAGAGGGCAGCACTCAGCAGGTGAGCACAAGAGCCTCCTCCTGTCTCTCCATGGGGTCCTGTGCAGCTTTGGGTGACATTTTCAGAGCATTGCAGTAGGGTAGATAACAGAGAAGGATCGTGCTTGGCATCATCCAGGATGATGGCTTGGAGTGCCACAAGACTTCACCTGTTGCTGTTGAGAGGTGACTGTCAGTGATGGGAGCAAAGCTGTGGGTGTCTCTAGGGCAGATGTCCCTGAGCCTGGGCAGAGCAGCCACCATTTAGCCTTGGTGTTTATACCATTTATACCATTTATACCACTGGAAATGAGGGTATTAAGGGGACTGTCACACACTGGCCATCACTGGGAAGGGGCAGGCTGGGGGCTGACTGTGCCTGCACTGCTCATTCCGTGTGGCTGTGCCAGTGCTCAGGGAGGAAGGGAGAGTGTGATGCTAATGTGCAAGAGGCTGCAACCCTGTGGAGTTAAGTGTCTGTTTTCATTAATCCATTGCTTAGGTGTATAGAGTGCCTTTCGGTAACTTCACCAGGAAGCTGACAGCTTGTGTGTCCACAGTAGGGCTGCTTAAGCAGATGAGCCCCAGGAAGTGGATGATGACCACCTTGTCCTGTGACACCAAGAGGGGCTGGAAGTTCGATTTCAGTTTCTACGTGGCCTCCAAGGAGCAGCAGCGCACACGGTAACCTTCCAAGAACCCTTCTGGACAAGGCAACAGAAACAGCACAGCTGAGAGGCTGAGCTGAGATGCCTGATGCTGCTCCTGCCCTCAATCAGTGACATCCATGGCTCTAGAATTTGCCTTGCTGCATGTATGCCCCATCTCTGCAGTCACTTTGCAGGCCCATAGCATCATTAACGTGATGGTTGAGATCATTAACAAAAGGCTTGAGAGACTGTGAGTGAGCTTCTTTGAGTGGCAAAAAGATGTTCCTGATCTGGTTCTTGCCCTTACCCACCTGAACTCTTGGGCTGAATGGGCAGCACAGAATATACAATGGTTATATATATAACCATTGAGAATGTCTGTTGCCATGCAATACTTTGGATGCTTCATCTTCCCTCCCTCTGTTCCCCCATAACAAACTCTCTTTGCTGCACAGGAAACTGTATTTTGCCCAGTCCCACAAGCCCCCTTACCACGGCCGAGTGTGTGTGGCACCCCCAGGCTGTCTGCTCAGCTCCAGCCCAGATGGACCCACCAAAGGCATCCTCTATGTCCCCAGTGAAAAAGGTGAGCTGGTGAGGCCCTGCTCAAACATGCCAAGATGCAGAGAATCAGACCTTTTCTTGCCATCTAATACAACTGTCATGGTTTGAGACTGGCACAATATATTCTCCCTAGTGTCTGCTGTGAGATGTGACCAGAAATAGAGCAAAGCAGGCTCCAGTTAGGAATAAAGGAAAAAACTTTATTAATTTACAGTATGAAAAAAAAGGAACACACAGAATGAAAACCTTCCAAAAACAGTCCTCCTCCTCCTCTCCCCAATTTCCAACACAACACAGTGAGACAAAGCCTTGGATTCTCAATCAAGCTACCACTCCTCAGATAATCAACTCTCAGTTCATCACCACTCTTCAGATAATCAACCCTTCCTTATCAAACCAGGATGCTAATTGTAGTTAGTGTTCTTGGTTGATAGAGTGACAAAACTCTTCTGTTTCCTTAAAGGAAAGAAGTCTAAAAGTTTCTCTCTTTGGTTAAGTGAAAAGACACCTCATAGGACTCAGGAAACTTCACCTCAAACTTAGGATAGCTAATTAGGCAGAAGCTAAAAAGTCTAGCTTGGGCAATAACTAGAAAAAGGAGTAAACAAAGAAACTATTGGTTTTTGTAAAGTGTTTTACCACAAGCAAGAAGATTTGGCACCTGGCTGTTGCAGTGTGATGTCGGTATTTGATTCCAATACCTGGCTCAGTTTTTCTGTTTGTTATTTTGCCTTTTATTAAACCTTTTTTGTTTCCAACACTGCAGCAGAAGCCATCCTGCTGATTATTGTGCCTCCATAGGTAGCTGAGCTGTTAGGTGTGTTATAGACCTCCTAGAGCTCATTAGACCTAGCTCGAAGTTACTATAACAACTAACCAACCTTTACTCTCTATTTGACAACAGCACCCAAAGCAAAGCTGTCAGCCACATCTGGATTTAACCCCTGCATGAACACAGGCTGTGGAAAGCCAGCAGTGAGGCCGCTGGTGGACACTGGAGCCATGGTGTTTGTGGTGTTTGGGATCAGAGGCGTGAACCGCACCAGGCGCCAGGACAACCACGTTCTTGGAGACATGGTACTCGTGGTGGTGTGCTTCTGTGCCCCAAAATACAACCAAAATACATTGAAGGGAGGAATGATGAACCTGACTCCATGTTCTCAGAAGGCTGATTTATTATTTTATGATACTATGTTATATTAAAGAATAGAGAAAGGATACTTACGCAATGCTAAAAAGATAATAATGAAAATCTGTGACTCTTTCCAGAGGTCCAACACAGCTTGGCCCTGGTTGGCCAATGAATAAAAACAACTCACAGCAGAATGCAATGAAACAATAACCTGTGGGTAAACAATCTCCAAACACATTCCACATGTGAGCACAACACAGGAGAAGCAAATGAGATAAGAATTGTTTCCCTTTTTTCTGAGGCTTCCCTTTGCCCAGGATTTATCTCCTGGGAAGCTGAGATTTTTCCAGAGAATGTGAATGCCACACTCATGGTCTGGCATGCTGGGGGCTGGCAAGTGAGGGGCAGGCTCTCTGGATGGTGTTTAGTTATTACCCACAGCCCCCAGGGTGGTCCAGCAGTCTGGACAGATGGAAGGGCAGGGGTTGTAGCATTGGGATGAGCCAGTACAGTTCTGTTTAAGCAAATTGATAAAATATTGGAGATCAGGAAGTCCTTATTGAAAAAACACTTGAGACTTTTCAAAAAATCCCTCTGAGTGCAACATATAGCCTTCTAATTTTGAGTCTAAACCTGGCTTTCTTGGGGATTTTCGAAGCAAGCCCATCTTGAGCGCAGCATAAAATCTCACTACACAATCAAGACTGAGGGAACTGATATTTTTCTATAATATATATCTTGTTGTGAAGTATTAACAAAAAATAAAAATCAGTTACTCTAGGGAAAGTCACTAAATGTGACAGCTTATCTGTGAGATCTCATACCTTGACACGTGACAGTCATTCCCTAGAAAAATTACGCTTAGCTTGGCTGCTGCACTTCAACTTTCTGCTGTTCTTCCTGCTCTGTGGTTTGGGGGTGCTGTGCAGAGCCAGCCTTTTCCTGTTCCCTCTGCAGGGGCAGTGAGAAATGCAGGCAGAGGGGCAGGCAGGAAGCTGCAGTGCCAGTTGCTGTGTGCATGTCTCACGTGTGGTGCTCTTGTCATTGTGTCTCCTTGTGAAAGGGCAGTGTTATCTACGATGACAGCTTTGACCTCTTCAAAGAGATTGGCAACCTGTGCCGCCTCTGCAAAGCCATTGCCAGCAACTCTGAGCTGGTGAAGCCCGGAGGGGCTCAGTGCCTGCCCTCGGGTAGGTTAGACAACTCCTCTGCAGCCCTGCCTGTGCTTGCTTGGGGTCCTCAGCAGCAAACAGAAAGGGGGACTGCTTCTTGCTGTCTCCTTTTCTTCCCAAGGCAGCTTGACCCTTCTAGAACGTGTCATTGGTTGTGCTTTTTGGGACAGAAAGAAGGAAGGAAAGGTGGTCTCTTTAATGCCAAAGACACTGGGTTTATTCTTTGGGATTTAATCCAGAAAAATAAGAAAAGAATTGCATTTTTTCTTTCTAGTCATAGTCTCCTTTTCTTCCCAAGGCAGCTTGACCCTTCTAGAACGTGTCATTGGTTGTGCTTTTTGGGACAGAAATAAAGAAATAAAGAAAGATGGTCTCTTTAATGCCAAAGACACTGGGTATATTCTTTGGGAGTTAATCCAGAAAGATAAGAACAGAATTGCATTTATTCTTTCTAGTCATGGGTGTTGTTTGAGATACAATCTTTTTACTCAGTAAATATCCTCTCAGTAGCTCCTGAATAGCAATGATCTCACACCTGATCTCATTGCAGTGAGGTTACTCACTGTCCCTGTGGCTTGGCACACCTGACCAGTGACCAGTGACCATCTCTCCCAACTTCAGAGGTCACAAGCTCATGGAGCTGAGCCTGGGAACTGTATGTTGGCTTCAGGCTAAAAGCCAATTTCATGCCTGGAGCAAATCCCTGCCAGGCCAGGCAGACAGCCCCTCAGCACCTGCTCTTTGTGCTGCTTCCTGACACCTGGGGACAAACAGCAGTGGCACTGTCCTGTCCCATGCTGGTGACAGTTGTCCTTTCAAGCTACAGCAGCTGGGAGCTGTGATGCTGAGACCTCAAGGGTTTTGGCAAAGCAGAGTGGCAAGGGGAAGCAGCTGTGGACAAATGGGTCCTGTGATTCTCTTGGGGCTCCCATTTTGGGTTGTTGGTTGGGTTTTTTTTCATCTCTTTGCTCCAATGTGCTTCCTTTCCCCGTTCTGCCCTCCATCTCTTGCTCTTTCCCTCTCTCCAGGTTACAGCATCTCCTCCTTTCTGCAGATGTTGCACCCGGAGTGCAAGAATATCCCTGAGCCCAACCTGCTGCCAGGGCAGCTCTCTCATGGGGCAGTGGGGGTGAAGGATGGCAAGGTGCAGTGGATCTCCATGGCCTTTGAGTCGGTGAGCACATGGGAACATTGTCATTCTGCTGACAGCTTCATCTTGTGACTTCTGGGGCTGTAGCTCTGCTCTTTCTGCACTGGCCACCTCCATTTGCAGACATCATTTAGTGTTTATTAGCATTTGTTTCAGGCAGATGCCTGCACTCACAAGTTGGTAGAAGTGGCTGCTCACACCACAATTAGCTCAGGCAAAATGCTGGTGGCAGATTTGCCCAAATGCCACTGCCTGGTGCTGCCACTTGAGCTGGTTGTTCTGCCCTTCCCCTTGCCATGCATTATATTAAAGAATACTATACTATACTAAAGAATACAGAAGGGATACTTACAGAATGCTAAAAAGATAATAATGAAAACTTGTGACTCTTTCCAGAGTCCACACACAGCCTGCCTGAAGAGCAGGCCATGAGTGATGTGTTTATCTTGTTGCAGACAACCTACAAGGGGAAATCATCCTTCCAGACATATGCTGACTATCTGAAGTGGGAGACATTCTTGCAGCAGCAGCTCCAGCTCTTCCCAGAGGGCTCTGCTCTCCGGCACGGATTCCAGACCTGTGAGCACTGGAAGCAGATTTTCATGGAGATTATAGGCAAGTGACTGCCGTGTTTCTCTCCCATGCTCTCTGACACATCCTCACAGCACACTCCATCCCATATGGTGGGCATGGGTTACATCTGCAGTCTTTTGCCATTGCTGGGCAAACTCCTAAAGCCTGAACATGTATTGTCAAAATTAGGCAAAGCCCAAGGAAACAGGCAAGGGAAGGGACTCAGCCCTGCTGGTGTGAGATTCAAGAATCCAATCACTCTTGGAGTCTCTGGTCAGGATGACCCCAAGATGTCTTAGAGAGTCTTTTTTCCCAGTCTGGCACCCAAAGAAGGA